AATTATATATTTTTGTGTTTATTTCTTATTTTCAAACACATTTTTCGTTTTATCTAAAATATTCAAGCTAACAGCGCGCAGCACTGTTAATGCACAAGGCGCTGTTGGCCTAACAGACACAATACAACGTTTAACATGCAATATCTAAGCTAGCAGCGCGCGGTACTGTTCAATGCACAAGGCGCTGTTAGCTTACGAGAAACACATGAAATGACACAAAATAGAAACCGTACACCGAGCAACAGCAACAACAAGAATAACAATAAAAGCACAAATGACCAACGCATTACTGCCAGGCGATAATCATTTACACAACAAAAACAAAAGAATTTCGTTTATGGTTTTTGTATGTATGCATAAAATGATGAAAAACAACCGAATGTTAAAGTAAACTCTGTAGCTTAACAGTAAGCGAATTAACATAAGCATTTAGCCGGTGCCAAAACACACTTACACAGTCAAACACACACACACACACACGAGAGTAGCAATCAGAAAAGAGTAACTAAAAACTAACAATAACAATAAACATGTAGTAATAGGAAGAGAGAAACAAATATAACGAATGTAGTATAATTTCAGTTGCCAACACACAATTGGTTCCAGCTTAGTTGAAATTAGTTGATAATGTGCAATAGAAATGTTTTGCTTTTAGTCTAGGAAACAGGAAAAAGTTATAAATACTATATGGAAACAACGATCCCCCATTGACCCACAGGCCACAAATGTGCAATTCACACTAAAAAGACACATACACACACACACACACACACACACACACACACACACAAACCTAATTACTTACGAGTATAAACTAAATACATATGCATGAATGGATAACTAACAAGTCTGCAAGAGTTTCGACTTGATATATATATATATATATTATACATAAACGAAAATACATATGCATATACAATATATACATATATATATATAAAGGTACATCTATATCAGTGTAATAATTTGTAATGTTTATCAGTAGAATTATGAAACAAGCAAAAAAGAACTTATTAAAAAGCAAGAAAACCAAAACCAGTTCTAATTTCATTTCAAATATCAACGGCTTCTATTGGCGCGCAAATTGTTATCGATGGGGCGCACAACTTAACGAAAGTTAAACGTTATCAAACACTTTTCCGACTATTTCGTTTAGCAGCGGCTTTAAATGCGATATTAGCTATCGTTAATGCTATCGATTGCACTTATTCCTATTTGATTTTTGAATGCAATTTTATTGTAGCTCATTTCTAAATAAAATTAATTTAAATTACGTAAAAAAAATAAACAAATTTAACAATTTAATATATACATAAGTCTTACAAACAGCCTGCGCTAATATTTGGGGAATATTGCATAAATATGGGTCGAATGCAGTTCGTTCAGTGCTCGCCCTCGTTGCCTTTCATATTGGCCAAGGTGGCATCCAACTCCGATTGAATGTGCTCAAACTGATTGAACAGCTGCAGCAGCTCTGGCTGTGTCATCTCAAAATTAATATCCTCGCCGGCGACCGTCTTCAACTGGAGTACGGCCAGCGCTGTCTTCTCGCGCTGCTGGCAATGCGAGGCAATCTCCACATTCAGCTTCCATGCCATATCTTCAATCACATTCGACTCGTACCGGTCGCTGGCCAAATTATTGAGCATTGGCGTCGTCTGCCTCACCCATAGCCGCAGAATAGCATCGATTTTGGCTTCGTCCTGCAGTTGGAGTTTCTCACGCAGCTCGCGCTGCAAATGGCTGGGCTTGATGATAAACGTCGAAATTCGTCGCAAAATATACGAGAAAGTCTTGATCAACAGTAAAAAGTCTGCCCGGGGTACGCCCACCAAACGCTCCAGCTCCTCCAGTGTATATTCGGGCTCGCTGCTCGTGTGGCTCGTCTCAATGCTGCTGCCGGTACGCTCGGTGGTTGTGACACTGGTTCCCACTGTCGTGCTGCCTGCGGCATTGCCCGAGCTGTTGGCTGCATTCGCTACGCCAGCGGCCGAGGCAGCAGAGGCAACTGCAGCAGAGCTCCCCGGACTCATCTGGCGGTGGACGTAGAGCAAAACTGTGGTAAACGTATCATAGGGCAGAGCATTGATGATTTTGATTCCTTCGCGTGCGCTGAATGGCAAATGTAAGGAATATGAGTGATAATTCACATGAATGAAATCTTAGATAAATTACCGCTCGGTTATTTTAATCCAGTTAATACTCATTTCTCTTAACAATTAGAAACATAAACACGAAACAGAGAAATGCATAGAAAGCACTGCCAACTCATTGCAAACTCAGTACCAGGGCTGCATTCGTTTAACATGACCAATATAAGATAACATTCTGTTAGTAAATGTCGGCTTCAAAAAACCGCGCTTTTGCCTATTTGAAGGCAACATCTGACGACAGCATTCGGACGTAAGTTGTTGTTTATAATAAATATGAATACAAACAAACACGAATCTGAGAATAACTCATAGGCAACGCTCTATGCAAAGTTTCATATACTTAAATGAGCCATATGATTTCCCATTCAATTTTTATTTTTATTTTGAGATCTTGGTTATTTCAGTTATTTGAAAACAAGCTATGATTATACTAGGAGGAACTCATACAGTGCAAANATGTTTAGTATTATTTCAAAAAAATTGTTGATAAATGTGTGTTATTAAATAGTTTTTCACTAATAAATATAATATTGATAACAATACTATTATTTATCATATTTATTCTCTATCAAAGTCGCACGTTAGGCCTGTACGCATAGTTTTTCTGGCAAGTGTATATCCCACGTACTGTCCTGCACTGCTCAATTTTTTTGCGCTGTTGTTTGTGCGTGTACATTTACATACATTTATGTGCATGTGTATGAGAGCACAGAGATAAAGAGTCAGAGATAGAGAGTAAGGCAAATAGCGCAAATAATCATATAAGAACTAGAGGTGGAGAACAATCGATGTCACTATCGAAACTATCGAATTTAGGGCACAATCGAGCTATCGAAATATCGATGGTCAAATAATGCGATGCTTATCGATAGTGTCGTCGATATTTTTTCTTACATCACTGCAATCAATGTTGGCGCTTTATTCATCTTGACCGCAGAAAGTTTAGTTAATCTAAMACTATTATTATATTACATTTTTAAACAAAATGGATCGCTTCCTCTAAGAAGGTAATGCCCATAACATATTATTAGAATGTATTTTGCAATATTTGTGTTTTATTTAAGTTAAGCGCAGCATTGCCACGGCGCACAGTGGGGCCTCTGTCGGCGCGCCGGCTTCTGATTGCAGCAATGCGAATACTGCAGCAATAACGCCCTCACAGGCGAAAAGAAATAAGATTTCCGAAGTGTGGAAGTATTTCAAGAGGTCTGGAGACAAACAAGTTGCTAAGTGCCTTACCTGTGGTAAGAATATAAAACAAGTGGCAACACATCTAATCTCCATGACCACTTGAGGAGGTTTCATCCTGGCTTAGAGATTAAAAATCCAGACTCTAGCACACCTGCTGTATGTGCTGAAGGGAACGACCCTGCTGCCAGTAGTTGTAAATCAAATATGATATCTATAGCGTCCCATTTTAAAAGTACTGTCTTGTATGACTCAAATTCCAAAAGAAAGGCAGAAATTGACAAAGCCCTAATTGAAATGATTGTCAAAGATGTGCAGCCCTACAATATTGTTGATAATGAAGGCTTTATTCAATATACTCAAGTTCTGGATCCGAATTACAAACTACCGAGCAAGACACATTTACGAGATGTGCTAATATATAATTATTTCAAGGCAACCACTGAAAAGCTGTCAGTAATACTTGAAAATATTCCTGATATTGCAATAACACGTGACTTGTGGACATCAAGTGCCAATGCTTGTTTTTTGACTGTAACGAGTCATTTTGTTCATCATAACGAACTAAAAACAGTATCCTTGGCTACGAAAAAACTGTTAAACAAAATTAATCACTGTTCGCAAAACATTGCAGATACATTGCGAGAAATATTGATTGAATGGAATATTCTCAATAAAACTGTATGCATTGTAACAGATAATGCTAGCTCCATGCTTAAAGCATGTGAAATATTACAAATCCGCAATCTGCCATGCTTTGCGCATTCGATCAACTTGGTGGTACAAGATGTTTTAAAAGTTGATGATGTAATAATTCAAGATTTATTTACTAAGTGCAAATCCATAGTTCGATTTTTTAAACAAAGCACAATAGCGAATGAAAAATTTCAACTAACTCAAGAAGGTTCGGCGTATACTTTGTTGCAGGAAACACCCACCAGGTGGAATAGTTTTTATTTCATGATTGAGCGTATTTTAAAAACGAACGATGCCATTGCCAAAGTCTTATTATCAACTACAAATGCACCGCAGCCGTTTACTGCTCAGGAAATCCTTGTCCTCAAAGATATAGAAAAGGTATTGGCTTTCTTTCAGCAGGCAAGTGAACAAATTTCAGGTGGAAAGTACGTTACCATATCCCTAATAATACCCATGGCATATGGACTTTTACGCAAAATCGAAAGTGTTTCACCTCTGCTGCAAACTTTGCAAGGAAGGACTATTAAAAACATATCAATGGAATCAAAAAACGCCTTTCCATATATGAGCAAAGGACAGTATGCAGAATGGCTACAATATTGGATCCACGTTTTAAGAAAGATGGATTTCAACACATTTGATCTGTGAGCAAGCAGCAACATTTTTTGAAAATGAGCTAGCAAATTTTTCTGCCAAAGAGTTCCCGATTAATCAGCCTGTCGCACGAGATACAAGTTCCCAGAGTACTCTTTTTTTTGATTTTGTGGGTGAGCGATCAATGACCAAAGTTGGAAACTCACGAGTGGATGCAATCCTTATTAAAAGGCAGTATCTGGAGAGGCCAACTGTCTCTCAAGATACGGACTCTCTGTTATGGATGAAGGTATGCTTAAAATTGAATTATAAGTTCAATATAATTCTATTCATTAACCAAATAATATAATTTATTTTGCAGATGAATCAATCTGATTTTCCCTCTATTGGAAGCCTTTTCTGCAAGTACCTCTGCATTCCCGCAACGTCAGTAGAATCGGAAAGAGCATTCAGCAAGGCGGGCCAAATTATTTCAGAGAGGCGAACACTCAAAGAAAAAAACATTAACATTCTTTTATTTTTAAATCGTAACTTTTGGATCAAATAAACAATATATATATCTTATATTCAATTCAAATATATTTGGCTGTTGGGGTACACTATCGATGGCGCTATCGATACTGTCGATGACACCATCGACAATATCGATGGTTCAAAATAAACAATCACCAAAAATCGAGAGCGTCCAATATCGATAGTTCTCCACCTCTAGC